CGTCACCATAATCATCATGATTAGCAGCATCATCATCGTGACCATCCTCACCATCAGCATCAGTACCATTATTGCCAACATCGTCATCAACATCAACAGCATCAGCATCAGTATCATCACCACCATCTTCGTAATCATCATCATCCTCATATTCATCACCACCACAATCATCAGCATCATCAGCAGCAACACCACCATCGCCACCATCACCATCATCATCAACACAACAATCATCATCATACGAATCATCATTAACAACCGCATCATCACCAGCAACATCAGCATCATAATCGTCATCTTGTTCATAATTACCACCACCCGCATCACCAGCATCAGCATCATCATTGTCATCATCGTCATGATAATCAATACCATGAGAATCATCATCAGCACCAGTACCGTCATCAGCATCATAATAGTCGTCATCATCATATCCATCATAGCACTGTCCCTCCATTCCTCGTCCTTATAAACAACTCCTCCCCGTCGCACCCCGAAACGTGCCGAAGAGGCGGGCCAGGCGTTTCGTACGAATCTTCCTCACAATGTCTGATCATGCAGCTAAAAGCTTGTAGCATATTCACAAATGGAGGGCGGACCGTTTGCAACACGGGCCTCTCGCATTAACGCCGAGCCCTTTTTCATGTTTAGCACTAGCCCCGCTAACAGCACTTCGTGGATGGAAAGCGGTTATTTTTCAACACGCGTTTTCTCGCCTCAGCGCCGAGCGCATTCGCCGAACAAATGTGCAAGAACTCCACGGATGGAAAGCGGGCGGTTTTCAACATGTAGTTATCGCCTTAACGTCTTGAAAGCTGGAAGTAGCCTTATCGTATTATCGCTGCATCGTCGTATCGTAACATCGGTTGTAAGCATGTAATTATCGCCTTCCCGTCCTACCGCCCTAGCACGTTTGTCTTGAAACATGGAAAAGAGTCTCATGGATGGAACGCAGCTCCTTCTCCAAATGTGACTCCCACCTTGGCGCCCCGATCAATCCGCCTTAGGCGTGGAGAGCTGTTCCACGGGTTCTACGGGTTGACGCCCCAAGAATGGCGTTTCCGCGCAGTGCAGGACTGTCACGGCGCAACCGTCACGTTGATTCGCCGTCCAAGGAAAGGCGTTCTGGCACGATTATGGATCGTCAGGGCGCGACAGCAAAATCGATTCGCGGCGTCGAAGTCCCAGAAACCATGCTTGGGCACGGTTCCAAACTTTCACACGGCTGTCTCCGAACGGGGCACGTCCCCTGGCGAAACAAATCCTTGAAAGAACCAGTGGAAAGAAAAAATGAGGGAGGGTTTATCAAATCAGAGGCAACAGCGTGGAATGGGGATTCCCCGTTGCAGTGCCTCGGCGGAGATCCGCCGGGCTCGCCCAGAAGCCGCGAGGAGGACATCCACCTCCACGCCCATATCCTCTTTGACGTCACCACCTCATCCTCCTCCGCCATCCGCAACAAGCACCTGCTCGTACACCTTCACAAGCAGCACCACCCTGGCATCCCCCCCCCCATCGTCCTCCCCCTCGTCCTGGCCATCCTGGTCCTCTTCCTCCTCCTCCTCCTCTTCCTCCTCCTCCCGTTCGTCGTCCTCCTCCTCCTCGTCCTGCTCCTCCTCCTCCCTTACCTCCTCCTCGTCCTCCTCCCCTCCCTCTTCCACCTGCTCCTGCACCAGATCATGAATAAGACGCGGCAGACTGCGTGAATAAGACGGCGCCGATGCATCTACTTCCGCGGGCAGCTTGCGCGCGGGTGAACGCGCAGTCGAGCCCCGCGGCATCGCCCCCTCAACTTCAAAGTAGGCGGCGCAACGGACCGCTTCTGTCAAAGCCTCGTCTCCCCCTTCGGGGGCGTTTAACCCACCCATCCTGCTAGCAGACCGTGGAGGCCTCGGATAAGGAATGCAAGGTCTGGAGCCTTGTGGAGATCCACTTGCGTGGAGAGGGGGGGGCAGAAATTGTCTGCCCCCAATCATTGTGACCTCTCTACCCTCCCTATTTGCCCCTTCCCTCTCCCCCCTACTTCCTCCTCCCTCCCGCCTCCCTCCTCCCTCCCCCCTCCCTCCCACTTCCCTCCCGCCTTTCCTCCGCCTCGAATCCCCTGGAGGATGGCGCAAGGTGACCGGTGCGGTTGCGGTTGCGCACCCGCGGGCGGGTTGAAATGCGTCGCCCAGTTGCGGGCGGATTGCAATGTGTCGCCCAGCTGCGGTTGCGGTTGCGCGCCCGCGGGCGGGTTGAAATGTGTCGCCCACTTGCGGTTGCGCGCCCGCGGGCGTGTTCGAATGTGTCGTCCAGGTGCGGTTTGCGGTTGCGCGCCCGCGGGCGGGTTGAATTGTGTCGCCCACAGTTGCGGTTGCTGTTGCGCGCCCGCGTGCGGGTCGAAATGCGTCGCCCAGTTGCGATTGCGCGCCCGCGGGCGGGTTGAAATGTGTCCCCCAATTGCGCTTGCGGTTGCGCGCCCGCGGGCGGGTTGTAGTGTGTCGCCCAGTTGCGGTTGCGGTTGCGCGCCCGCGGGCGGATTGAAATGTGTCGCCCAGGTGCGGTTGGGGTTGCGCGCCCGCGTGCGGGTCGAAATGTGTCGCCCCGTAGCGGTTGCGGTTGCGCGCACGCGGGCGGGTCGAAATGTAGCGCCAAATTGCGGTTGCGGTTGCGCGCTCGCGGGCGGGTTGAAATGTGTTGCCCAATTGCGGTTGCGCGCCCGCGGGCGGGTTGAAGTGTGTCGCCCAGGCGCGGTTGCGGTTGCGCGCCCGCGGGCGGGCTGAAATGTGTCGCCCTTGCGGTTGCGGTTGCGCGCCCGCGGACGGGTCGAAATGTGTCGATAAATTGCGGTTGCGCGCCCGCGGGCGGTTTGAAATGTGTTGTTCAAGGTGCCCTCCTGACGTTCAGTCAGTCAATCAGTCAGTGACTCAATCAGTCAATCAGTCAGTCAATGAGTCAGTCAGTCACCAGCGGGCACGGAACTTCACCCGGCTCCGCCGGGAAACATCTTCGATAGTCGGGCGTTGGCGGGACTGGGTTTATTGGGACCTGGTTGAGTGATGTGTACCAGAGAACGCCCCTGCCCCCGCCCCCTTCCACTAACCGAAACTGCCGTCACTCGAAGAAACACCAGCCACAGCAGACTTGGTTGAGTGGTTCGGCCCCATGTTTGGGGTTTCGGGTCCTGATCACTAATCGGCTCACTTTAAAGAGGGTCCTGGCTATGTTCGAGCTGAGTCTTGGGTTCACACTGGTCCCCTTTCCTCGTTCTCTCCCATGTCATCTCCTCCTCCTCCTCCTCTTGCAACTTTCGACGTAGCGCAGACATGGATCGGAGATCGTTGCCTCTTCATGCCTCCTCCTCCTCCTCCTCCTCCTCCTCATCCTCCTCCTCTGTCCCTCCCTCCCTCCCTCTTCTCCTCCTCCCCCTCCTCATCCTTCGTCTCCTCTCCTCCTCCTCCTCCTCATCCTCCTCCTTCTCATCCTCATCATCATCTTCCTCCTGCACCTCTTCCTCCCCCTCCTCCTCCTGCTCCTCCTCCCTCCTCCCCTCCTTTCTCCTGAATCCTTCTCCCCTTCCATCTCCTCCCTCCACCTCCTCTCCCGCGCGCGCCCTGCCGCGGGAAAGGCAGGGAACAGGGGATGAGAACAGGAGGACGCGCCGGGAGGCAGGAGGGAGGAAGGCGCTCCAGGAGGCAGGAGGGAGGAAGGAGACAGGAGGGCGGGAGCGAGGAGACGTGAGGGCGAGGCCCGAGGGAGGAGGGGCTCGAGGACGGCCCTCGAGAGGGCCACTTCGCACCACCATCCCCATCCTCGTGTGAGGGGGAACGGTCGGGGGGGACCGGCTAAGGGGGGGAGAACTCACGAGCGACACACATATCCGTATCCGCGCCCTCGCGGTCTGCACTCCGGGGCGCAATCCCGCGGATACGCCGTCGCACGGTGCATCCGCGCAAAAACTCGCCCCGTATCCGCGGGGTCGCGGCCCAGGCAGGAGCCCAGCCCGAGAGGCCGCGGATACGATATCTCTTTCGCCCCTATACGATAGATTGACGACTGGCCCCCGGATGGCGAATGCGCTCGCTGCTGGGGAGGGGGGTGGGCCATCGGGCCCGCATCGGCGATCGATGGCCTCCCAGCGGCCGTTCGGAACGACTCGGGACGCCAGAGCGCTCCAAGCGAGGCGCAGCCGCTGGAACGCACCCTCGCGCTGGAGAACCGCCCCCTGGGCTTCTAATCCACTGCCCCTGATCCTGATCTTCTTCCCTCCCCAGCCCTAACGTTACCCATGAAAGTCTACACGGCACGAACGAAACAGGTACGGAAAGAGTGGGAACGCACACCGACAGTAAGTCTGGTTCCGTTTGAGCAGGACTCCCTGTCGGTGTCGCCGCGGACGTTATTCGTTTTTGCGGCCCAAAGGTCGCCTGTTCAGCAGCGGCCGCTGTCGGCTTTGGACAACCTTTGCTGTTGGGCATCGCACTCATTGTTGTCCGTACCCATGTAGGGCGTTCCAGCCTTCCCCTATCTCCTCTTGCCCCTCCCCGGCGTGCCTTCTTCTTGTCGTCACGCACCGAGGCCTTCGCGCAGGGAAACAGGAGCAGAGGAGCGCCGGCGCCAGAGGCGCCCGCCAGCCACTCCCCTCCTTCCCAGGGCAGCATCCATCCTCGTCCTCGACCTCGTCCACTCCTCCTCCTCCTCCTCCTCCTCCTCCCCCTCCTCCTCCTCCTCCTCCTCCTCCTCCTCCTCCTCCTCATACTTCATACCCATCGCTCATCTTGCTCTTCCCTCCCCCCTCCTCTTCTTCTTCCTCCTCCTCCTCCTCATTCCTCCTCGTCCTTTTGCTCCTCCTCCTCCTCCTCCCGCTCCTCGTCTCCCTTCTCTTCCCGATCATCCTCCCTCACCCTTCTCCTCAAAATTATGTGCCCTCGCACTTCGAAATATCCCTCCTCCTGGTGTTCCCCCCACCCTTCATCCTCCGCGACACGGCAGGCAATGGCAAACGGGGGCCCAAAGATCACTAGATCCCGCTATGTCCTCCTTCTCGTTTCCCCCTCCTCCGCCTCGACCGTCCTCATCCTCTTCCTCCTGCATCCTTCCCATCCTCATCCCTCCTGCTCATACTCCTTCTCCTCCTCCTCCTCCTCCTCCTTCTCCTAATCCTCCTCCCACTCCTCCACATAAGCCTCCCTCCTCAATCTCCTCCCACCAGCCTGGCTCATGTTCCCCTCGCCCCATCTTCTTCTTCCTCCCCCCCCTCTCACTCCACTCCCTGTGAAGTACATCCTCCTCCTCATCCCCCCTTCTTCGACCCCTTGTCTCTACGGGTGACTCCGCCTCGCCTGCCGCCCGACGTGTCCGTAGGGCGGGGCGGGCGGCTCGCCTGAGACTTCCACCCGTGTCTGACCCAGAACCCAGCACATCCCGACCAGGTACACGCATTAAAGGAAGAGTTGTTTACAACGTGTGGCTCTTGCCCTTACGCCGAGCACATTCGCCTTGAAGGGTCGGAATCATTGCACCAAAATGCGGCTCTCGCCCCTTCCACGCACATTCGCCAAAGATGGAGGGGCAACCTTTCAAAATGTGGCGCCAGCCTGGTCGCCAGCCTGGTCGTCTTCAAGCGTGCAACAATTACATGGATGGAGGGCGGTTCCTTCTGATGATGCGCCTCTCGTCTTCGCGCCGTGCACCTTCGTCCTAAAGGATTCCAGCAGTTACACGGAGGGGGAGAGGGCCGTTCTCCAAAAGTGCGGCTCAGGCCTGAGCGCCGCGCCCACCCGTCTCAAACGCGTCCAACAGCTACACAGATGAAGGACGGCCCCTTTTCAAAATGCACTGTTCGCTTGAGACGCCATGCGCCCTTCGACCCCTATGTGCCCCAGCAGGTGCCAACGGCTCCGCACGTGGAAGACCGGCTCGTGCTCACATCGGGGCTGCCTGGCCAGACGTGCAAGCTTTGAGCAGCGTGCGCACGTGGAGGGCGGCTCGTGCTCCACGCGGGGCCCTCGCTGGACACCAACCTCGGACTCTCTGATCCTTACGGCAGCTGCGCGTCGTGTCGACAGGCCGCGACCCCGCCGCGGGCGGTCAGGGTTGAACGCCGCCGATGGCCCAGAGTCGGCCTACATGGAAGGATCGGGCGATCGGAAAGCCGCCAATCGTTCAAGGTTGAACGACCGACGCGGTGTCAGAAACCAGTGCCAGGGTCGTCACGACACGAACCTGTCGTACCTCGTTGCCGTCAGCTATCAGCAAGGGTGGCAGCGCATGTTCAAACTGGGACTATCGCCTGACTTGCAGGACAATGGGGGCGCTCGTCTTTCAAAGGGGGGCACTTCCCGCGGTGGCCAGGAAATTCTTGTCGCGGCCTTAGGAGGGCAGTTGGGGAGAGTGGGCGTATGGCACGACATCGTTGTCAGGGCCTCCTGGGAAAACTCTGGCCGAAATATCCACAGCTCTTCAGGGCGTGAGTGGTCTAAGGAGCTCGATCTGCAAACCTCCTTTGTTTACCTTCGGGGAGTGGGCTCCCCCTCCCCCTCCCCACTCCCCACGGTCTGGACCCCCGCCCCGCAAGGTATCCGACGGTCTGGTTTGGTTCTAGATGGTTCTAAGAGGGCCTCCAAATTCGCTCAAGACATCCCAGGATGGTTGTCCAAGATATCCTCCAACATGTCTCCAGACCCTCAAGATCGCCCCTTTACGCCCCCAAGTGCCCTCCGAGCCTCCCATGGAGAGCCCCAGGAGGTCCAAATTCTTCAAAGCCACTGTTCATCTCGCCTTTTCTCTTCCGATGGGCTCCCGAGGCCTCAAGATGGCTTTCAAGATTGCCCACGATGGCCCAAAAGAAGGCCCTCCTGGGCCCCAAGACGCCTCACGAGTGTCCAAGAACGCCTTCAGAGCGGACCAAGAGGGCCCCCAGCGGCGATTTGTCGGGCCCCGACGGAGGTGGCGCTATCGGCGCCCCCTCTCTTTTCATCGATGGCCCCCCAACAAGGCGTCCCCCCAAAGCCCCCCAGTGCCTCCAAGAGGGCCCCAAGAGAGCCTTCAGAGAGCCACAGAGGGCCCCAAGAGAAGCCAAAGAGGGTTTACGGGGCCGCCAGCATGGCTCCATGATGGCCCCACATTGACCTCACGAGGCCTCCATGACGCTCCTAAAGCCAAAGATCGCAAAGGTCTTGATACTGACTTTGTCGCCGTCGTCGTCGTCGTCGTCGTCGTCGTCGTCGGCGTCGTCGTCGTCGTCGGCGTCGTCGGCGTCGTCGTCGTCGTCGTCGTCGTCCGCGTCGTCGGCGTCGTCGTCGTCGTCGGCGTCGTCGGCGTCGTCGTCGTCGTCGTCATCGTCGGCATCATCGGCATCGTCGTCGTCGTCCCGCGCTTCCGGCGGCTGTCGTGGTTGAGTAGTTCCCTGACGTTGCTCCGTGCTTGATGACCAGCGCGCGAGCGTCTTCGCGCGCCTAAAGCAACACACTCACGGCGAGCAACGCCAGGCAACTCCTCGACCAAGGCGACCGCCAGCACGCACGACGAAATACAGGCACGGCAGGCATCACCAGGCAACCACTCAACCAGGACGATATACGTCCCTGATCACTGCGACTCGCCTGGTGTCTGTTTTGGGATGGGCTGGTGGGGCTACTTTCTGATCGCGACCGCGGCGAGAGATCGGGCGGCGTCAAGGGGCGAAGAGCAGAGGCGACGGCCTGAATTAAGCTGGTGGGGATACTTTTTTTCGGTCGCGTCCGCTAGCGAAGGCGCTAACGGAGTCAGAAGCGCTACGGGTCACGACAGCGGCCTAATCACTGGTGGGGATGCTTGTTTTGGTCGGCGGCTCCGAGGCGGCGGACAGGGAGCGGTAGGCGTCGCCTGGGCCAGCAGGCGAGGCTAATTAGCTATAACAGGCAATGCACCTGCAATAAAAATCCGCAAGAAAGCGAATGTGCACATGTAATAAGCAAAATGCTCGATTATACGCTGCAACTGGTGGGGATACGCGAGGCGTCAAGAATTACTGTTTCCTCCCCACCTTCCTCCTCCTCCTCCATCCCGCTCCTGGTCTGCTTCCCCTTTCTGCTGTCGTTACGCCCTTCTTCGTTTTGTTAGCTTGTGGCATCTGCCTGGTATGGTCGCAGGACTTTGCTTCCCACGGTCACGGAGGACCGTCCTGTATGGCATCGACCCGACGCCTCGAGGACCAGCCTTAGACGGGTCCTTGTTCAAGCATGTTCACCGCGCAGCTGCCCAGGTGCAGTCGATTAGTTCTGCCACAGACGCTTCTGCTCAGCGCACCCTCGAACTGCAGCTGCAGCAGCACGACACGCTGAATCAGGAACGAAGCCCCGCATCCGCTCAAAAAAAAATCCATGGTGCACGAAGAGCGCTGGAGCAATTGAAGGGCCTGATGAACAGCGTGCCACTCCCGATTCCGAACTGGCCCTTGTTTCAGCGCTTGCTTTTGGGCGGGACAGCGGGTGCCCCTCATCAAGATGCGCCTGTCTTTGCACACGCGGCCAAGGATGTTTGCATGCCCGACTGCACGGTGCTTGACACGGCCGATGTCCACTGCCATCGTTGTTCATGTCGCAGGCTTCGGCGGAGAGACGCTGTATAATAGAAAGAACGCCTCAAGGGGCCCCCAGGAGCCCCCCAAGAGGCCCCAGGGGAGCCCGATACGCCGCCAAGGAGCCCCAAGACGCTCCCAAGAAGCCCCCAAGAAGCCCCCAAGACGGCCCCAAAAGGCCCCAAATAGCGCTCCAAGGTCGGCGGAATGAGCGAAGCGATTCAATATAAAGAATGCAAACTTAATGCTGGCATTGTACATGCGCCGGATGTTGATGTCACGCTCCCTTGCGTCGAACCCGGAATGTCTGTTGACATACAGATTGCACTGTATCATGGTATGGTAACTAGCGCCAACGCCAGGCAGTATACAATCGTTGGCACGGTGGATGTAAGGCTATGCGGTGCAGCCCAAAAAAGCATACCCCCAAGTGCAAGAACTGGTTGGGAATGTTCTAAACACAGCTTGGCTTCACCCCACAAGCCTTTGGTTGACCCAAAAGGGGGGTCCAACCCGAAAGGGGGTGGTGCAATATATTTGGGGCAATTGTATGGTAAATGTTTTGCGTCAAAAAATTGTATTACATTGTACTGCATGCTTACATCTGGGCACCGGAATTTATTGCACGCCCCAAAAGATCTATTACAGCCCCACAAATCGTTGGCACCTAATCTACTGCACCACCCTCTCTTCGCTGGACCTCCTTTTGGGTCAAGCTGGCGCCCTCGGCCAACACCTCGCCCATCGACGTGTGCCCCACTGAGTATCGTTTAACCGATCCCCATCCCCAGCGGCGTGGCCTCGTCCCACTGGCCGAGTTGCTTCCACAAATGGGGGTATATAGGTCGTTCCCTGCGGGTTTCGAGGGGTGTATCCCCAACTGGGGGGGTACTTTGGTGGGGGTCTCGAAGGGGATGGGGATGGGGATGGGGATCGGTTAAACGATACAGTGCGAGCGCGACCGCAAGAAACCACTGCAAAAAACCTAACCCTGAAAACCCGCGCGCGAGGTGCACCAGAGGGGAAACCGGGAGCACCCTGAGGGCAGCAGCTCCTTTAATGGCCGCAGGAAGTCGCCCCGCGCAGCGCGCGGAGCGAAGAAACCCAGGATACCCTGACGAAAAGCACATGGTTTCCTGATACGCGCCCCCACTGTACTGACCATCGACGCGTGCCCCGCGGCGCGCCGCCGCCGCAACGCGGCCGCCCACGCCAGCGGCGCACCTGCCCCCAGCGCCGCGACCGCGAGCGCTTGGCGCCCTTCCAGGAGGGTGCCGCGCAAGGTGGGCCGTCCGCGGGCGAGGCCCGTCGAGCACAAGGGCCTCCCGGGGGCGCCGTGCCAGGAGCAGCTCGCACGGCCGCTCTGGCAGGGCTGGACCTAAACGGTGTTGTTCGTTTTCGTGTTCGTTTTGTTGTCGTTTCCCTCGCTGTTTGTCTCGAGTCCGCCTTCACCGCGAAAGGAGATCGGAGCGAAAACGGCCCACGAAATTGTTCGGTGTTTTTCGTTTTCGTTTTCGTTTTCGCTTTGTTGTCGTTTTCCCTTGCTGTTGCCTCGAGTCCGCCTCTACCGCGAAAGGAGATCGGAGCAAAAACGGCCTACGAAATCACCAAAAAACACCGCGTAGGTCCAGCTCTGCACTCTGGATCTGGGAGGCGCTCTCCCCGCAGGGGGACTCCGCCGCGCCGCTGCCGTTGCTGTCGGAGTCTGGGTCGGTCGCCAAGAGGACGTCGGATCGGGCCACGTCGTCGATTCATGTGAGCACAACGAGAGGGAAGACTCTAAATTCGTGGGCACCTGTTAGGTGGGACTCCGTTCGCAGGCACGACCGTTGGAAGATATTCATGCCCTCCGAACGGGATTGATCGACCCACGCCTGGCTTGTCATGACCACCTGTTTCACCATGGATGGGTAAAATGGAGCTGCCAATGCAATCGGCAATGTAGCCCGAGCCAACTACTGCATCGGTGGGCAACACGCCCTCGTAACCGACTGTTGTGGACTGTCCAGACTGTCCGTGTTGATCCGCATCAACCTGCAACAATAGATCTGGACCACGGCCCACTGGGCTGCACACTGGCGGTCGCTGGTCAAGAGGGGCACTCCTGGGCCGGCCTCCGCGAGGAAACCGCCAACGACGCCGAGCGCCATGGCCTTGAACCCCACCATTTACACAACAGCTAAATCAGTGGTGCACCTAAAACGTCGCTCGATGCTGCAAGTGGTGGGGGCGGCTCCTGGGCAGGCAAGCGCCCCTCGTGTGGGCGGCACGGGCTCGGCGCGATGCCCCCCTCCCTATCGAGGCGGTCGTGAGCCCCTGACCCAACATCTGGACTGTGGTGCATGACCACAGATCATGGCCTGATCAGTACTTGATGGTGCTCATGGTGATCAGAAGCGAGTCGAGACCCTGTCTTATTCCCTCTCTCCGCCCCGCCTCCCCTCCCAACCGCCCCCCCATTCATCCCCCCACATTCCTCCTATGCGTGCTCTTCTTTGTCATCCCCCTCCTATCCCTCCCTCCTCTCCTTCCCCCTCTGTCCATATGTCATGACATCGGCGCTCGCAAAGATCACTCCATCTTGCGGCGCACAACGCCGCGCGGAGGCTGTAAAAAGACAAATCGGGAACCCGCGGTAATATAAACGAAACGGCGCCACCTCCCGAAAGCAACCTCATCGAAAGGTGCAAATGGAATACGCTCGCTGTCCAGCCCCCTTTTCATCGGACCCGTCAAGAATTGTAGCCGATAAGGCTCCAAACAAATTGATCACTATTAGGGTCCACTCCAGACGGCGCCAAGACCTGTTTCCCATCAGCACAAATCCACTCGGATCTGCTCACTTTGGTGTTGGCCCGGATCCGTGCTTGTGTTAACCAAAACCTGCTCCGCGGATCCGAACATCAAGCTCCCGCACAGATAGCCGAACGAACGCATGGCCTCCCAAATGGCGCAACACGGGCCAAGTGGGGCCAGCACCCCGTCCGGAGTCCAAGGACGCAACATGCAGCATACGGCCTGACCTAAGGAACGATAAATGAGGAACGAAACCCCTTGTTTTCGGAGTAAATCTAAGGAGTGCGAAGGAAACCAGGCTGGCTCGCCGCCTAGAAGGTAGCGGAACGCATGCAAACCTAAGGAACGGCCGAGCCCCTTTTGAAAAGTAAATGCTCCTCGTCCAAGCCGGACCCTGTAGGCTCTCAGGAACGCCCCAGGGAATCCCCCAAAAGGGGCGCACGGCAAAGCGCCCCCCAAGACGACCCAGGGCGCACTCGAGAGCACCACGGCAGAGAAACCCAACGAGGGCGGCCAGGAACAGCTCCTCGGCCTCCGACGGGGAAGGATCCAAAGGGTGAGCGGCCCCTCTTTCCCTTGCGGGTGTCAGCTTCAAAAGGTCTCAGAACAGAACACAACAGAAACCGAACGCCCCAAGGCGCGTCGGCAGGCGCTACATGATGAATGAATTCAGACAGATCAGAGAAGAGAGGACGTTCTCAGGAAGGGTTAGTAGCACCCCCTGCCGGACTCGAGCCCGCAATCTTCGGATTACAATCCCGACGCCTCCCAAATAGCCCGGAAAGAGCCCCAACAGGCTCCCAAGAGGTCTCCTCGAGGACTTCATGAAGCGAATGTCTCTGTGTCTGACTCCCGATCCTTGTGCGTTTCGCGACCCCCCTACAGGGGGCAGCCAGCTTCTACGATCTAGAGAAGACGCGTAAAAGGAACAGATGAAAGAGATAGGGAGGGCGCTCTCCCTACACTGTCCAGGTCAAGATCACTTGCTTAAGAGCGGGTTGTTGATGTACGATGCGTCAGGAACTGCAGCTGTAGCTAGATTGATGATGTTGCGCCATCTCCTGAGCCGAGAGGACCTGTCAACACTGCTCCGATCATGCCATGCTAAGCTTGCTCCTGCACAGGGGGGTCTCCGACCCCAGCATATACAATGCACAACACGCCCCCTTGGAAGCTCGGCGTGTGTCTAGAGTCGAGCTTTCAACCGACTCCCGAAAAGGTAAACTAGGCTGGGGCGTCCCACAGGTAAAATAAGCATGGCCAACAGCGCGCTATACCACAACGGGTCTGAGCATGTCAGGAGAAAAATACTAGCATCAAGCATGGCAAAAGGGACGTGAGCTCAGCAAATATCGCACTGTTCTGCTGCACCGTGCAACGCGTAGCCGCTCAAGGCCCTTGAACCTCAGTACAGAAAAAGTCCTCTAGCCTTGGCATCACTCCCAACATGCACCTCAAGGAAGGCACCGTGCATGCTGATCGACAGTGGCTGAAAACGTGGAGTGGCCCATCTCCACTTGTACGTTGTCTGCGGTTGAGTGCCAACCGTCCTCCTCATGCGGTTGCTCTGGTCCACAGTCGACTTGGTCGACGTGGATGACATGCAGCCAATGCCAGAGTCGATCTTCTTGTCCTTCGCGTCACCGGGTTGGGTCTGGACGAGGAGCCACTCCTGCTCCCCCCAGCTGGCGTAGCGGAACCCCGCGTAGCCGAAGACGGTGGCCACGACCAGCGTCCAGACGACCAGCACCAGCCAGTAGTTCGTCCAATCGCTCACGACCGCGCCGTCCTTGGAGCAAACCTCCGCGTCGCAGTAGCCGTCGTACTCGGTGGCGGGCCCTTCGCACCCTTGAAGGAGCGCTACCGCCGCCGTGATCATCGCCAGAGGCGCTGAGCGGGTCACATTCGGTGAAGCGGCCGCGCCTGGGGCGCGCCGAACCCGAGCCGCCGCCCCCACCTCGAAGTCCATCTCCTCCGACTGGTGGTCGCTCTCCGCGACCTGGCCCATGTCCGTGTAGATGCCGTTCATCGTCCTGAGCTTGACGAAGCGCTCGTACCCGATGGTATTCGTGCCCAGGTCGGCCTGGTTGTTGTCGGTGCCGACGGTCCCGAGGTCCATCAGCTTCCTCTTGATCGCCTGCTGGGCCCAAAGCACGCGCGCCTCCAGGCTTCTGACCTTGCCAACTTTCTCGCGTTTGGCAATCCCTCGGGCCGCCGACGAGTCCGTCAGAAGAGTCGCCGCCACCGTGAAGCCCATGAACTCCAGGAGCGACTTGAAGTAAAGGAGATCCTCGGCGACCGCAGTCGCCGCGTAGTACTCTGCCACTCCCGAGCTAGTCGCCACAATCCCCTGGCGTCTGCTGAAGGAGTGCATGGGGGGCGTTGCCAATCCCGATCTTGCCGCTCGACTGCGACCTCCTCGTCTGCAGGTCGCCTGCCCAGTCGCTGTCGCCGTAGCCCACCAGCTCGACGTTTGTGCCCTCCGTCGGCCTCGGGGGCCAGTTCACCGCACCCCTCGTGCCCATCAAGTACCTGGCCAACCACTTAAGTGCAGTGAAGGCACCGGCGGTGGGGCCCGACGGCATCCGTCCTAGCAGGCTCACCTGACACTGGCAGTCCGCCCTGTCATGGGCGCAGTACATCAGCGCCCCCACGCATGATCGGCACATGCCAGCCTGAACGGAAGACAGGGCAGAGGTGCCCCCCATGAGCGCCTTGTGAGCTGGCCCCCCCTGGCGCGGGCGCCGTGTTCGCGCCCCCGAGACCAAGTGTCTCCACCACGTAGTCCAGGTACTTCGGGTTCGCCCTCAGCTCCGCCCCGTGCTCGAACCGCGCCCTCAGCCCCTCCAGGTGCTCGCAGGTGGCGCCGTGCTCGTGGATCTCGCCGCCGCTGAAGGTCACGCGCTGTCCCAGCTCGTCGCGGAAGCCCTCCAGCGCGCCCCTTGGCCCTGCCATGCGCAGGTCGCACATGTGGAGCTCGACCACCACCTCGGTCTCTGAGTTGTAGAAGAACTGAGGAGCCACCTCGCACCTCGCCATGCGCATCTCGCCCATGAGGGTGCCCGCCATGTGCTCCACCCAGCCAGGCGCCGCCGTGCGCCTGCCAGGCAACTGTCTCTTCAACTTCCAGTAGATGTCCGTGCTCTTGCCCTCTGCCTGCAGCCTGCCCAAGTACTCCTGCGGTGGATCCACCACCACGTCCTCGTGCTCGGGCGCCCGGTAGAAGGCGCCCGTCGCGTCCAGCGCCATCACCTCGAAGCCGCGCTTGAGAGCCGCGAAGTCGATGAGCCTGTTGGAGATCGGAGCCGATCCTGGCGTGAACAGGTCGTCGCGCCACTCCTGCCAGCGGAACTCACGGCACACGAACCTCACCTTACGCTGCCACTCCAGTCGCGCTGGCTTCCACCTCCACTGCTTCTCCCAGCGGGCGGCGATGCGTTTCATCCCCCTTGCCTCCGACTTGGGGATGTCCTCGCCGACGCCGTGGTCCAGGAGGCTCTGCAGGTGCTCCAGCGTGAGCTTCTTATCCAGCTCGCCCTGCCCGTCCACGTCGAACATGACCTCGGTCGGGTCCTCGACCTCATCCGAGATCCCCTCCCAGAACGCGTCGGGCGGGTCGTCTATGTCGCCGACGCCCAGCTCGTGAACCGCCGCAACCCGCGCTCGCATGCTCTCTGAGGCCCCCGCCTCAGGCGGCAGCCCGCGCCTCTCTGCCTGCGGGGGCGGCGCCCCCATGGCCACATCTCCTGGCGCTGGCTCTGCTGGCTGCTGGGGCTGCGGCTGTGGCTGCTGCTGCCCTGCCGCCGCCGCTGGGCCTGGGGCCTGCGGTGGTGCGTGGGGGTGAGCAGGGCCCGCTCGGCCTTCGGGTGGCCCTGCCGGCGGTTGTGCCTGATGCTGCTGCTGCTGATCCGCCCTCGGGATCTCTGTCGCCACGGGCGGGGCTGCCCGTGGTCGCCTCGACCTCTCGGGCGCCGTCCTCGTCGCCCAAGGGAGGCCCGTCGCCGGCAACAGGAGGTCCTTGTCGGTCTGTCTGCCCTCAGGTAGCCGTCGCACTGTCCGAGCTCGATCGACCCCCTGCGGCGTCATCATCAGATGCTCCTGGGACTCGTCGGATCTGCCAACCCAGATCCCACGGCCCCACTGCGCCTCCCCGCGGCGTGGCCGCCGCCCTCCACCAAGTCCTCGATGCTTCGGTCGAGCTATTCGATACAACACCGCTTCGCCGAAGTTGCAGAGGTCGCCCTTGCACGGCGTGCCCGTCGCCATCTCATGCGGGCTCTGCCCTCCAGCTCGTCGCGAATACCGTTCGTGCAGCCACCCAGCGTGACGCATCATCCAGGCCCGGATCGGCATCGCCGCCGTGATCTTGGTGCCGTAGCGCTTCCCAAGATCCAACCTGAGGACCCGCGTCTGGCCCGCGGCGATCTTCGCCGCCGCCTCCGCTGGGTTGGACTGGCTGCTGTGCGTGGGCGTCAGCTCTGGAATGACCTTGCCCGTCAGCTCTGCGACTACCCCGTCCAGGATCGCCTTCGATGCAGGCTCCGAGTCGGTCCTGAGTCTGCACTTGCCCGTCTCGAGCCGCTGCGCGAACTGCTTGATACCTTCAATCGCGCATGGCAATGCCGACTTCGATGGGCATGGAATGACCTTTACTACTCCAGCGTCCGAGCTGAACGCCACGGGCATGGTCGCGTAGGCGCCCTCAACCTTCGCCAAACCCCCGCCCTCATCAGCCGTCTTGCAGAACCCAAAGTCAAAGCTGATGAGCGGCGCCTTCCGCTCGGAGTCCTCGAGCGCGACGTGAGTGCGAGGAGTGTCGGGTGTCTTGCCGCGGGTGCACTCCTCGCACCTCGCACCGCGGCGCGGTTGGCAGATGAGTAAGGCGGTGCTGCCTCTCCTCCTCAGCGCTCGGAGCTTTCCGCACGGGCAACTTCCTAGCCTCGACTGGGTCGCGCTAGATCCCGAGCTGCTCCGTGACTGCCTGCTTGCGCGCCCTCTCAGCCTCCGATCGCCTGACCGCGGCCTCCGCCACGATGGGCCTGTCCCAGAGCTCCGCCTTGGCACCGTAGATGGGCACGCACAACTTCCTCAGCCTGGCCCTCATCGCGCCGACCGAGCTGTCCGCGTTGAGCACAGGAGCTGTCGCCGCATCCTGCCGCTCTGCCGCGCCGAGGCAGCGGTGAGCCTCAGCTGCAGGGCCCGCCGCGACAATCGGGAACCTGAGGCTGTTCCTCTCCAGCGTGAGCTGCACGCTTCGATGGCCCTTCGTCATGTAGAGCCAGTCCTCCAAGCTGTGGTTGAACCTGAAGCCCTGCCTGAGCAGCTCCCCCATGCTCAGCAGATCGTCGTTCACGTCAGCGACGAGGAAGTCCGCCGTCGCCGTGATGCCCTCCTTCATGGTCATTTCTGCTCCCCTCAGGCCTGCCGTCGGTAGTGGGCGCTGCTGCACGTCGAAGAGCCTCGGCGCGTCCACTGCAGCGCTGATGGGGGCCTCTGGGACAAATCTACGCCTGCAGAGATGATCGTCGCTGCCGCTGTCGACCAAGATGGAGCCGCCGACCTTCGCCACCTTGCCGTCCGTCTGCGCCGTGACCGCGAACACCCAGCCGTCGGGCTTGCCGTCATAGTAGCCCGACGCCGCCTTCACCGTGCCATCCGCTGGCTGCTGGCCTGATGGCGAGGCCGCGTCGCCTTGAACCGCTGGCGTGTGACCTGGCTCCTTCTTCGAGTCGTCGGCCTTCTTCCTGCAGTCTGCCCGCTTGTGGCCCCACTTGCCGCAGTAGCCGCACTCGCCGTCAAAAACCTCCGGCTGGTTGTTGCCGTGCTTGCCGCCGTCACGACCATTAGACTGGGTCTTCGAGTCCTTGCCCTTCTGGGATCTGCCCGACGTCCCGCCTGACTTGTCCGACTTGTGCGTCTTGCCCTCGCCGCTGGCCATGCCATTGGGAAGCCGGGCGCGGACTGCATCCACCTGCATCGGGACGACCCCACCCACGTCTGGGACGTGAGTTGAAGTCCTTCCCTGTTTGTAGTAGCCCCTGATGTGACTGCGAGCTGCACCGAATGTGAGCTTCACCTCCTCTGGGGCCTGTCGCAGCACCTCACGATATGGATCTGGCGCGTGCTCCAGCAGCACGCTCACCTTGACATTGTCAGAGACGGCTTCGCCGCTCTGATCCACGTACTCGGCCACGATCGCCTCCGAGGCGGTGAGCGACTGAAAGAAGTCGACGCCCGCCTCGCGATCCTTGGCCCACTTGTCCTGCGGGTTCAGGATGAACCGCAGCATCGCCGTCCAGCGGTTCCCTGAGCGACTCTCGTACTAATTCTTGAGCTGGCGCCACGCCTCGAGGCCGCTCTTGCGCAAGAGCTTGACCACTCCCATCGCCTTGCCCTCACAATACGTGGTCAGCAGGTGCCACAGACGCTGGCTGACCTGCCTCGCGCGCTCGTCGAGCTGGTCGTTCAGCAGCGGGTCCTGCCTTTGGTCCGCCGCGGCCATGAACTCCTCGAAACCGGGCAGCGCGGTGTAGGCCTCGAATCGGAGACTCCAGTCTCCCCACTTCTCACCCGTGCCGTCGAACCGCTGCAGCCGCATGTCGGTCCGCACGTCGACCACCTCGATCGCCGCCATCGCTGCTGACGGGCAGCCCTCTCGGGCGGGGAGGTCGCGGGGCGCGCGAGCTCAGCTCTCGTGGCGTGGGAACCGAACTCCGCTACCATGTAGCTAGATTGATGATGTTGCGCTCATCTCCTCAGCCAACAGGACCTGTCAACACTGCTCCGATCATGCCATGCTAAGCTTGCTCCTGCACAGGGGGGTCTCCGACCCCAGCAAATACAATGCACAACAGCAATTAAACATAAAACCAAGGAGATGCCATCCTGAGGGGAACCACGTACCATGCCCACAACGAGGAACTCGTCGGCTCCACAGCCATCACTGATCACCATCACCATCACCGCCACCATCACCATGATCGTAATCATCATCATCATCCTCATCATCATAAGCAGAATCATCAGCATCATCATCATCGTCATCACCAGCATCATCAACATCATCAGCATCATCATCTGAATAGTAGATCTCGTCATCATCGCCAACACCACCTCATAATAATCCCCCAAATCTCTGGCTCGACCTGTTTCCTCAACACCGTCAAACCCTCCCGATCCCACGAGTACTCCCGAGGCTGAACATACATACACATCCACAGCATTTGACAGCGAATGCGTCCTCAAGCGCGACTGCCTCCACTGCGAATGGCACTTGTGATGTCTCATGCTCTCCTTCTCCTAGTTAGCCATGCTCCCTGGTTTCTCTCTCTGCCGCCTCCCTCCCCCTCCCCCCGTGCCCACCACTGGTCCTCCGTCCCGTCCTGCCCATTCTACTCCTTCTCCTCCTCCTCCTCCTCCTCCTCCTCCTCCTCCTCCTTCGTCCGTAGCCATTTTGGCTCAGGCCGTGTTCCCCGCTTTCTCCGCAGCCTTTTCGCCCATGTTCGGCGGCTTGGCGGCGGCGGCGGCGGGCGCGCCCTGGATGGCTGCGGGGGGCTGCCCGCCGATGTGGCGGCCCAGTGTTTTGAGGATCATGGAGAAGGACTTCCTCGGCGCCTCAGCGGCGAGGCGTGCTGCTCGACGGCGCGGTCGCGCTGCTCTGGAAGCAGCTCTGCGGCCGCTTGTGGCGGCTCGCGGCGCCCCAGGCTCGTGGGTGGACCGCGAGCGCGCGTCGAGGCCGGCTCTGCAAAGGATTGCCGCAGGAGATCGTGTTCCTGGCGCGATGCGGCTGAGGCGGAACGCCGCCTGGCACGCGTGCCGAGTGCCGCCTGGCGGCTTCACAGCCGCGTCCTCGGCGGATCTGTCCTGGGCTGCTGCTGGGCCTCGGCTGGGGCACACTGCTGGTGGCATGCGGGCTGAGGCCGCGTCGTTCGTGCCGCGGGCTGCATGCCGTGCGATGGGCGTGCGGTGCAGCTGCGGGGCGGTCGCTTTCTCATCGTGCTGCTTGCCACCTCCTGCTGACGGCCTGGCGTCGCCCGACGCGTCGCTCGTGGAGGATGAAGGATCCGAGGCGCCCGTGGGGGAGCGGTGGGCAGGCCCTGGGGAGGCCACCGCCTGCTCGTCCTCCTCGGTGGCGCCGCCCTGCTCAGACGCGACCCTGGCCTACCTGGAGGCGCACCCTGCTGCGGTGCTCAATGGGTGCAACGAGGCCGAGGACGGGTGCTGCCACGTGAAGGTACCGGCGGTGGAGGTGGAGGGCCTCGGCGTGTTCGTGGAGTCGGACTGCGTGGGCCCCTCCAAGAGCGACGAGTCCGTCTCTGGCTCGGACTCCCAGCAGTACCAGAATGCCACCGCCGAGGCGACCGCGGAGGTCTACAGCGAGAAGATCAGCGAGGCGATCCGCGAGGCGGGCCTCGTGCGGCGGCTGCCTGATGTACCGCCGTGGCTGCTCGAGGTCTCTGGTTCTGATCCTGGTTGCGCCCGTTGCGACGGTACCCTCGTTCGTCGGCGACGCGGGCCAGGGAGGTGCTCATGCAGGGCATGCGGAATGCCCATTCCTCGTGGAGCGGATGTGGCAGCCTGTCCGCGCTGCCGTTCATCGTGGCACAGTTCGTGTCTCAGGCGTTTGTTCGACGAGGATTGGGACGACTCTGGCAGCTCTTCATGATGCCGTGCGTGCTCCTGTCCGTTGAGGTCTTCTTCGGGTTCACGCTTGTGGTGGGCTTCACGGCAGGTGTGACGTCAGCGGTGGGGCAGGGCTGGTGGCGAAAGTGGCAGGTGGCGCCACCCAGCCCTGCCCCCTCCTCTGGGGGGAGGCGCCGTCCCCCCAGAGAGTATGGCTTGGCAGTTGTCGATGTTAAAAAAAATCCTCCTCCTCCTCCTCCTCCTCCTCCCCCTCCTCTTCTCGCAACGGTGGTGATTCCTTTTCACGGCCTCGCGCGGGCTCAACATCGACGGTATAGAGCGCCCGCTGCCGAGACGCCGCCGCTCGGAGAGAAAAAAGGATGGGGGGTCCCGGCGCAGGAGAGGAGGGAAGGGAGGGGAGGGGAACGAGGAGGGGAAGCTGGCAGGAAAGGGAGACGGGGAAGGACGAGATAGAACACTTCTCCGACGACCCTAACGGCGTGTGTGGGACGCTTTTCCGTTTCACGTCGTCGTCGCAGCCCCCCTTTGACGCTTTTCCGCTTGAGTGGCAGTCGTCGTCGTCGTCGTCGCCGCCGCCGCCGCCGCCGCCGCCGCCGTCGCCGCCGCCGTCGCCGTCGCCGTCGCCGTCGCCGTCGCTGTCGCCGCTCTCCTCCTGTTCCCGGGCCCTCCTCAAGCGTTTCAGACAAATGGCAAAGCGGAGGGGGTCGCCAGGGGGGGGCGGGTCGCGGAGGGGGTCGCAAGGAGGGTGTGGGGGCTGTCCCGGGGGTTGTGACCCCCCCAGGGGGGGAGCACGCCTCTCTGGGAGAGGCTTCCCCCCTCGACTTCTTGCCTCCCAGACGACGCAGGCTCACTTGTACTGAGGCTTACCCTTGGAGGGCTTTAAAGCACCTACCCCTAGATCGCTCCAAGACGGCCCAAGATCTCGAGACGGCATCAGAAATCGCCAAGATGCCCCAAGAGAGCTCTCAGGGGCCTCAAGAGGGCCCCACGAAGCGAAAATCCGGGATTCCGTTCAACTTGTCCATGTGTTTCGCGTCCTCGCCATTCCGGCTTCCGACGCTCCAAGACGGCCCAGGAAACATTACAAATCGCCCCACGACGGCCCAAGAGGCTGCCGAAAACGCCCAACAGCGGCCCCAGACGGCCCAGGACGGCACCAAGACGGCCCAAAAAAAAACCAAAACAGCCGAAGAGGGCCCTGAGAGGCTCCCGAGAGGGGCAGCAAAAACCTACATTTCGAGCGTTCCACCCCAGCAGGCCCCCTGGAGGCCCAAGAGGCGCCGTGAAAGCCACCAGGAGGCCCCCGAGAGGCCCAACAGAACCCCTAGAGCACGCCCTAGAGAACCCCAAATGGATAAAAGCAATGATTCATAAATTTTCGTATGTGTTGTCGTCGCCACCGTCGTCGTCGTTGTTCCCCTTCACGGTCGGCGGCACCGGCCGTAAGGCCTTCGCAAGAATGAGCTGTTGGAGATCCACGAGCAGTTCTTGAATCGGCGCCGGGCTCCCCTGACTGGCACGCGGAATGCGCCAGCGACGGTGCTGGAGGCGACGCAAGGGGGGCTCTTCGGGCGAAGGAGGGAGGGGACGCAGGTAGCGGGGGAGGGAGATGCCGGAAGGATGGGGGATGGACGCCTGGGATCGGAGATGGTATTTCCGCATGTGGTGTCTCTATCAACGGCGAAAATCGCTTTAGTTTCGGCCAAACTCCAAGGGATTTGCCCGCGGTAGGTCTTTAGAAAGACCCCTAGAATTGGAAACGAATTACCTCATCGGCGACGTTATTGGCGGGCTGGGCTCCGCCAGTAATGGTCATGTTCGCGCCTCCCGCGGCACAACAACGACAACGATTACGATTACGACCACGACTACGACTAGAAGTGCGACCACGCTTACTGCCACAAACACAACTACGATTACGATTACAATCACGACGACAATCCTGATTCCAATCCTGATTACAACCATACAACCACAACTAAAATCACGACTACAACCATACTCCCTGATTTGTTTTTCCAATCCTCATCGAAAGATGCTCACACATCCTCTCGCTAGCACGGTATCCCACAGTTGCATACTCCTTGGGAGACAGAACCCACCAACATTACCAAGACCGCCCAACAATGGAGGGACGATGATCTCCGCCGCGACGACGACGACTACGATTCCAATTACGACTATAACCACGACTGCTATTACGAATGCGGTCACGAAAACAATCAGGATTACAATCACGTTTACATCTACGACTTCAATTATGACTACATATTCATACACCGATCCTAGTATAATCCTCATGGGAATCTGCTAACACATCCTATCGCGAGTAGGGTAAGCCACATGGAATTACTCCCTGGGAAACAGACGCCCCCAACATGAAACAGCCCGCCCAACAATAGCGAGAAAAAACATTCCACCGCGACGACGACAAAAACTACAGTAACGACCGCGAGGAAGAGTTGGAAGGAACAGGAAGTGGAGGAAGCGGAAGAGGAGGCGGAGGAGGATGAGGAGAAGGAGGAGGAGGAGGACGATGAGGAGGGGGGAGGAGGAGGAGAAGCAGAAGACGAGGGGAAGAACGAGGAGGGCGACGAGCAAGAGGAGGAGAAGGAGGAGGAGGAGGAGGAGGAGGAGGAGTGGCGCGTTTGTTCCCCGCCGAGAGAGACAGGGGGGACCACAACTAAAACCATCCTGCGGTTACCACCCCTGCGCAACGCTGCTGAGCTGCGTGACGACAGCCTCCCCTAATCACCACTGTGGTTCCGGGGCATCTCGCTCGAGCAACCTCGCAACGCTTTCACGGTTTCCGCCCGCAACGAGGCCACAACGAGGCCGACCGCAACGCTTTCACGGTTTCCGCTGGCAGGCTCCCCCCCCCCGAATTCAGGAAAGGGCGGGCGGGTAACACGATAAGCTCGACCTCGAGCCAAAATAACAGATGAACGTTATGCTGCTCCAGCTGCACGTGCTCATCACCTTACCCACCAGTCCCCGTGCTCACTACAATGCCACTGAAATCACGCAAGTTTGCTGAACACGGCATTGTTTTCCTTAGCACCCCCTCCACATGAGATGGCACTACCAAGGGCGAAAGCTCGCTCAAGCTTCGGCCGCACTCCATTGGACGCACCACGCCTGTGCGACGCTGCTAGGCTGGGTGAGGACAGCCTCCCCTAATCACAACACCACCCGCAGCGCTGTGACGGTTTCCGCCAGCAGGCTTGTCCCCCGCATATGCCCCGGTCAAACATGTCTTGCACCGGCCCTCACAATCGCCCTCGGAATCTGCCTCGGGGCCATCCAACACTGAAGTACCCCCTGCTTCGCGCCATGGCCACCCGCGCGCCGTGCAAGACTGCGTGAGCATTCGGCGCATGAGCCAGCCAGAGCGCTTCACGAACTGCGGGTGCGCCTCCCCGGACAGCAACCTGAAGCACTCTCCGATATCGCAGACCCTCTGCAAAACGTGGCTGATGCTCTCCTCCGTGAGGGCCTCCGCCAGCGGCTCCAGCACTCGCTGCCCTGCTCCGAACGATACGTCGCAGCCTCGATGGCCAAATCCCGCAGGCGGCGGCCGCGGCGGAATAGCTTGGACTTGCCAGCCTCCCGGACGCCCTGGGTCAGCTCAGCGACAGTGACAAATCGAGCTTCGGTGACCTGCGCCAGCCGTACCCCCTGCAATCCGAGAGTCGCCTCCCAGACGTAGCCTAGGACCGCTCTAGAGCCCAAGCTTCCACCGTACACCTGGATGGTTCAAGCCAGGCGCCCGGCGACCGCCATAGGCTGTGCGCCAGCGACCTACGCGCCATACTCAGTGATGCCACCGGGAACGACGCCCAGCACAGCGCAAACCATCATGTAGAACTGCACCATGCGCGCCTCCGACAAAGACTGCGCCGAGGAATCGAAGAGCAGGGGACACAATTTTCCGCCAGCCTCTGGCGCCGCTCCAGGCCATCGCGGAAAATGCGCCGCAGACCCGCAACTGGGCAGCCTCGAGCTGGGCATGCGCACGCCCATGCACGATGCTCGCGTAGCGCTGTCTGGTCTGCCTTACCCACCGCAAGCACCAATCAGCCCACCCAGTCATGGCACATGTGCTGGCGAAGCGTCGCGCGCGGGCACGCTGGCGTCTAACGCTGCGCCGCTCTCCACCTCCCGGAGCAGCCGCGCCGAGATAGCGATGATCACGCCCACCGGCTCCAGCGGCCCATGCGGCTGCGCAGCCCTGAGAATCGCCGCACTGCCATCCAGCGAGCAGGCCCGGTCCACAGGCAAGGCATCTGCCTTCTTGGGCGGCCCCTCGCTCCAGCGCAGCGCGCGGACAGCGTCGCGCACTGCCTGGAACGCCCCCTCGGCCCAAGTGTGGCCCGCTTGACCATGGCGCAGCTCAACGCGGGAGAGATACTGGGGGCCTGAGCGGCAGCCGCCTTTTCTGCAAGGGCGCGGCGGCCAAAAGCAGTTTCTGGACCGACCGCGGGGGGCGGCTGGATACCACGCGCGGCAGCCCGCTGCGACCACCAGCGCAACATCGAAGGCCCCGCCGAACGAGAGCTAACAGCATACACGTCACCCATGAGAACGCCCACACTTTCGCGATCGCCCTGGTTCAGATCCAGCTCGCACGCGCCCCCGGGATCGGCGCGCTGCTTCTCCACGGGTGCACCGAGGCGGCGACGCCGCTCACAATGCTCTGCCGCCCCGCAAGAGACAACCTCCTCCGTCGTGGTGCAAGCGTCTGCCAACTAGCGCCTGCCTGGCTGCGCTCGCGCCCAGCTGCGTCCGCGCCACGAGGCTGCGGCGCGACGAACCTGCCTCCAGCGTGAGCGGCGCGCGACATCACCCCAAAGCTCCGAGCGGCGATCTAGCGCGGAGGTCAGACGAAGATGCTGTCCGGGGGCCCCGCCACGCAATGCCATGCCTCAGAATCGGCGCTCGGAAAACGGCGTGCAACCCTGCAGCAGAGTGCCGGGCTCGAGCACTGCGGGGGGATGCCGCGCCCGCGTTGCCCCCGAATGC